ACAAAAAAAAAATCAATAGTAGAAAACAGGCAGTGAACCTTAGTGTAGAGGAACGTGGTCCTTCATGGTATATAAAACATTGAAAACAAGGAATTTCAGCTTTGAATGTAGCAAAATACAACAATTTAGATTATTTGTGATCTGAGATCTTTTCTTTAATTTGCATTTGTCCGTGATTTTCTGCAATGTTGTAATACTGTGTACTCATAATATGACGTGTCATCGTACCAGGTTCATGAGGATGAGAAAAGGTTATGTTTCACAAATTACAAACTTAGTCTTAAAGAGTCTCTAATAGGAAAAATAACATTTTGGTCTAAGTTTAAATTGTCCACATGTTGAAGGTTTTTCTGCTACTATAATTTTAACATGAACTTACAGAAACAAACACTTTGAAAATGACACCTTCTTAGCTTTCATGAATAGATTAAAGGCAATCTATTCATAAGTACCCTGCAGTACTTCTGGAGTACTGCAGGGTTCTGTGCTTGGGTCGACTCTCTTTTTCCAATAGGGAAAATCATCATACAGCAAGGGAAAAACTTCCACTACTATGCTGATGACACTCAGCTTCATTTTTTTAATCCATAAATTTTGATAAATCCAGTCATTTAAGTATACTACAGGCATGTCTTAAAGACCAAAAAACCCGACTGACTGGAAATTCTCTGCTTTTAAATTCTGACTAAACAGAAGTTGTTGTCTTTGAACCAGAGTATCTGAAAAACTGCTTAATAACACAGAGTAAACACATAAGACTCTGTGTTATTTTTGACCAGGATAATTAAACAATCCCTATTTTAGACTCCCTCCACTGGCTCCCTGTTAAATCCAGAATGGACTTTAAGATTCTCCTGCTCACATAAAACCCTTAATCAGAGATTTGACTGGTCCATATGTCCGTAACAGAGCACTTTGCAGGTTTGGTGCTGATTCCTAAAGGTTCTAAAGGTAGAATGGGAATCACATCCTTTAGTTATTAGGCTCCTCTACTGTGTTATTCAGACACCCCGTCTCTCGCTGTCGTCTTTTAAGTCTTGGCTTAAAACTTTCCTTTCTGATGAAGCTTATAGTCATACTGGCTTAGGTTTCCTGGGCTATCTCTGTAGATATGCTACCACAGAATTTGGCTACTGCAAAACTAATTCTATTTCTTCTTGCTCTGCTACTTTCTCCTCTCAAATTTGCTATTATTTTAACAGCAAACTTTAACTTTATATTTTCTCTCAGTTTTCTTACTCTTTATTATAGCTTTGTCTGGTTGATCATTTTGCTAAGCTGTTAGCAATTAGCACAGTTAGCATCACTAACTGTATTGGCAGACTGAGTACTTTCCAAATAAATTATAAATATTCCTACCTAACAGACTACAAGCATGTCCAAGTCCTTAAGGTTCCTTGGTAGACAGAGGTTGTAAGTAACAAGGAACGGGAAACGCCTTCCAGGCTCAATACGCGTCGTTGCTGCGGCCGAGACGCAGTCTGATGCGCCGCAGACTCACAGCATCAGTTAAATAATCACTCTGATTGCTTTTATTCTCCCATGTGCTGGATTGACCTGCAGAGACGACTTCAGATCAGTTCATGTCTTTTCCTATGACGTGATCCATGTTTGGCACTAAAGTGGAACCCAAATGCAAAAAAAAAAAAAAAAAAGAAGAAGAAAAGGGAATGACACTAGGAGGAATTAATAAACATGTCTCCATGCTTAGAGCGGAATGTTCCAGGATGAAAACTGGAAATTTTCAAAGAAAATGTGTGTAAACACCAACAGACAGAGATGAAGACAAAGCGGGAGAACAGACAGCAGAGATGGAGCGATGGAGAGAGAGGAGGTGGGGGGATTAACTTCTCATCCAGTCTTTGCTGTTGCATCGATTTTAAGTAGCTTATTGCACAAAGCAGCCTGGATGTTTCCTGTGCGTTTGCATGATTCGTTTGGAGCGTGTGTGCGATACATGCCGCTGATCTCATGCAGGAAACCAAGAGCTTATGAAGGGGGCCCCCCCCAGATGATCAAGCATGCTTTGAAGTCGGCACACGGTGACCCGTGTTCCCAGAAACATATTACTCTTTAATCCTGGATTCTTCAAAAAGTAATTGGGTAGAGGAACAATCTCATCAATGTTGTCCTTCACATCTGGCCTAATCATCGTTCAGCCACGCAGGAAGACCCCAGCAGGTCTGCTGGAAGCAAATAAATGAATTGGAATCTGGAAAAAACATCACCCGACATTTTTTCCTGAGGCTTAAAAACAAGAGTGCTCATTATGTGTGCTTTGCAAAGTTAACATTACGCAAGACACGCTAAAAGCATAAACCTTAATGTATGTCTGCTGAGATTTGATGGGCTTAACCAGCACACCAATTTAAGCTACAATTGGTGTAAAAGAAAAGGGGACACACTGCTTTGCTTCTCATTGTGAACACTACAATGACTAGATAAGAAGGTCCGAAAAAAAGTTTAATTAGAAAAAATAAGTAGAGAGGGAGAGGGAAGTAGTTCACATATGCTAGCTTGACTTTGACAACCGTAATACGTAGATGTGCTGTGGAATTCGGCGTGTTTCAGTTCAGTTGCAAAATAATAAAAAGGCGACCTAAACACCAACTCTGACAGAACATCAGTGGAGCAGGTGTTTAAATGAGCTAATCAACCACAGCTGTGTTAGATTAGCTAATAGCAGCGGTAATTGGTGCTTGTATCTGACAGAAAATGCATTAAAATTACTGTTATTAATGTTAACAAAAAAAAGTGAAAAGGTTCAGAAGGTGAGTATTTGCATTGCGTCATGGCTGCACTGTAAAACCTGTTTTTCTGTTTTGTAGAGGGGGGAAAAATAGAGATAACTCTAATAGAGGACATGAAGATATGCCAGGCTTTCCTAAGTAGTCGTTCTCGTTGGATCATGATTCATAATAAAACTGAGAAGCCACCTCAAATTGAAAGCTAAACACCTTATCCTGATGCAGCACATGTGCTTGCAGCAGAGTGGCCGTATTTTTTCCCAGAATGCGCAACTTTTATTATTTTTCTTGCCATATATATTTCATCAAGTCTGAGGAAGAAAGGAGACCTGAGCTGATTTCTCAGTCAGAACATATTTAAAGCATTAATGATTGCTGCCAGAGGCAACGACTCAAAACCAGTGTGGTAAATAACTCTAAGGCTCTCTTTGTATGTATGAGCATACATGGGGAGAAATGCAGCAACAATGATTCTTCTCCAAAAACCAGGATACATTAGAGATTCGTTTAGTCTTGTTCATTCAGGCCTGTTTGATGTCCTTCACTTGGCAAGACAGATTCAATACACAGTGAGTTACACACACATTAGGTTCCCGTCAAGAATTTTACATCCAGTCACCTTTGGGGTTAAAATCATGTTAAAGTTGGATTTTTAATGAGACATTTGAACTCTTCTTTTAGTGGTGTGGACTGATTTGAGAACTCTACATCAAGGAGTTGTTTATAACTCAGGATTGAGGACACACCTCTGAATTTTATGTGTTTTTCTCCAATCTACACAGAGTCAAAATTATATTGGACTCAAATATATTCATAAACATGAGTTAGCTGCCATGTCCAATTTTTACAGGTCTTGATTTCGTCCCTGACTTAATAAATAAAACAAATCTGATCATTCCCTGAAATCTAATTCATGGAATCTTGATTAATTCATTAAAATATGTAAATTCTACTTTTGCTCGCGAAACCAGCAAATAGTTGAAACAAAACAAACACAAGGTGTTTTTTTACTCACACATTTGCTCTCCCATTTTGTAATACCATTAGGTTTCCATGGAAATACACCACTAATAAATGGCTAACTGTTATGTAACAAGGCTCAAGGAAACCACACTGTATTTGTAGCCATCAGTAGTTCTGGCATGAGTCTGGATGGATACGCAACCTTTAACGTATGTGAAAATGATGAGGTTCATTTTAATTGGTTGGTTTTTTGGCCCTGATTCGACTTTGGTTTAAATCCCACAAATTGCTATGATTAGGTCAAGCTCAGGGTCAGCTAAGCAGCGAGACGCTGATATGTTGTGGGGATTATTACGACGGCCATTGCAGATAAGAAAAAATTGAGGAGTACATTTCCACCAAAATACTCAGAAAGTCCGAGATTAAACTCAGAAATTTTGGGGAACAAACTTGGAAATTTGTGAATTTGTAAAGTCAGTTTTTTGACTTTACAGTTTTTTTGTAGTCAGTAAAGTCAGTTTACAAAAAACTCAGACAAAACTCAGAATGTTTTGTCTGAGTTTACAAAACGTTCTGTTCTTTTGTTGTTGTTTTTTTTTTTAAGTTTCAGCTTTCCAAAAATATCCAAGTTTCTTTCTCAGAAATCTCAGGGGTTAATCTCAAAAGTCCTCTTTTTTTTTTTTTTCCTAGCAAATTTTTCTACAAAATTTTCAACTTCCCAGGCTCAGAAATTTCCAGGTTGTGTTTTCTCAAAAAACTCAGATTACTCTCAAATTTCCAAGTTTTTTTCTAGAAAATTTCTGAGACGTTGTGTCATAAATTCACTCGGCTGTGCAGGTTTATTGCTCAGTCAGAACAACAAACCCTTTACCAGCTGGTTTAAGGTAAAACTGAAAACTTGGATGCTTTAGATTTTTCCAACCACCTTGTCAAGTGATGCTGTCATCACTGTGCCTGATTCTTGTGTTAAAAAAAAAAAAAAACACTTTCCTTTGACTTGAACACAGCCGGACAGCCCGACAGGATAACAATCTCAAAAACACATCGGAACTTGTTTGGAACAGGATAACTCCGGCCTCCTGAGTGCCGCAGGGCTCACTCCTGGAGGAAATTTATTCTCGACATTTCTGCCAAGCAGAGCAGTCAAATGTCCAGCTAGAACTGTAGCAGATGCTGTTAATAACTACGAAAAGTGTGTGTGTCAGACAGTAGCACAGTGTGTGTGTGTGTGTGTGTGTGTGTGTGTGTGCATTTTGAAGTGTTTCCGTCTAACAGAGCTGGTTCTCTTACCTTGAAACGACAAGAGGCAAGATTAGCATTTTCAGCATCCTCATCAGCAGCTCACCGGGAAACTGGAAGTACTTCACCTCCTGAAAGCAACAGAGACAGATTGTTATCCTGTCAGAGACGATTTTTTAATGGATGTAGTCGCTGACAGCCAATCACAGTGCAGATGTCTGAGAACCGAGATGCATCACTGATTGTTTCTTCAGTAAACTGGAGCCTGAGAAAGCGCTGGTCTTTGTGTTTTTCCCACTGAATAGACTTAAAAATTAAACTCTTCTCAGAGTACATTGTTCGCCGCGTTTCAGTTTAAAGCAGGATCTCCACGCAACTCCAGATTTCAGGTCATCAGAAGCTTCTTCTTCCAAAAAGGTTTTTCAGTGAAAAGTTATTTTTCATTACTTGTCAATAACAGTCCCTGACCTTGATGTGACCTCTGAGAGAGAGAGAGATTCTGAAAGGCCTTGCTGCCTGTTTCTACACTTTGTTCTACACGATACTTGATGTGACCCTCCGTGGTATTTCTTAATTTTACTTTTTTTTCTTCACAACTGAAAAGTGATGAAGACCTTAAGACCTACCAAACATATTATAAAAATCATTGGCAAACACAAAAGACCAGTGTGACTTTAATTTCTAAAATGTCTTAACGTTTCTCAATAAACTTTTCGATTAAGCCGTTACTCTCCGTTTTGCTTCCAAGGAGCACAGCCTGTGTTGTCTTAGAGCAACACTTTCAGATTGCAGAAGAGCTTGATATGACAGTATCGTAAGATGTCATCATGACATGGTGACGGTTTTAACAAATATGTTAAAAAATAATTTTTTAAAAGTTATATACTGTAGTTTTAAGGTATTGACGGCCTTATCATGGTTACTCTTCATTAATTCATCTGTAAAGTCAACCAGCTGACTTCGCTCAACGTTGGCCACACCAACAACAAAAATGTTTCATGGTGGAGCGTTTATTTTGATTTATTTCAACCACTGGATTTTCATATTATCTTTTATTTTTTTTATTTGCTACTTTCATTATTTCACTTATCAATTACAATATATAGAGGAAATGTCATAAAAAAAGTGGCATAAATAAAACTGTCTGAAACACAAACTGAATCCTAAGTATCTGTCCGGTGAAAATGCGACCCGGTCCTCTGTGGGAAGGCAATTTCCTCCTCTAATCTGCTCCCCCCCCCCTTTGATTGCTCCCCAACTCAGCATTTGAAATAAGTTCTCATTATTCCCAAAAAACAAGCAAAAAATAAAAAAATCAACCGGCTGTCGGAGGATTCGTAACGGAGCCTCCAGGGCAAAAATTAATTGGTCTCACTGGAGGACCTGAAAGGCTAAGAAATGTCAAAGCCAATTAAAGGCAATAAAAACTAAACAAACACCCAGACAACGCAACTTTTCCTTGAGACATATTGATAGAAAGAAAAACCAAAGTAAGCTGCAATTATTTTTTATTTTGACTGCTTGCTGTTGAGGACTGACTTTGGTACAAATGAGATCGTTTGTAAAAGTCAGGACCGTTTTCAACGTGAAAGTTGATTTTCTTTGCACCTTTATTACGAGGTCTCTGGAAGACATTACATTTAGATATAAAGCATTCTGTTTCATATACAAAACTTAAGATGATGTGACATAAAAACAAAAGACTGAAATGTGTTACTCTATGTCTGAAACTAAAATGAAAATTATTCTGAAACAAATCAAACTAGAGGTCGGGACACTGAGCCAAAGTATCAATGATATCAATACCAAGTCAGTATTGGTGTCGGATCAATAGGAGCAGATCATTAGCTTTGGTGGAGCTTCAGATTCAAAATTTTACATTATTTTTTTTATTGTAGTTTCTCAATTCTACCTCAAAAAATCTGTTTTGATTTGCTCCTAATTGGTCATTTTTTTGCACTTTCTTTTAGGTAAATGGGTAGAAATGTGTTTTGTTTTACTATAGTTTCTGTTTATTTGGATATGTAAAATAGTTTATATGCCTTTAAACTTTGTTCAAATTCTGTCGTTTAGCAAAATGATTCAGTAAGTAAAAAACATTCAATAAAAGAAAAAGTATCGGTACCTGCAATACTGGTGTATCGACTTTATCGGATTGATAACAAAATATTGTTACCTTCCCAGTAATAATAGCTCAAGTTATTTATTTATATATTTATTTAATTTTGCCAAAATTGATTTTTACTAAAATCATTAACTCTTTTTTGCCAAGAGATTGTTTAGGTAAAAAAATAAAAATAGGAAATCAGTTTTGGCAGAAAATTACTTTATTTTGGGAAGATGACGATATGCAGTGTCACACACCTCTCCTACAAAACACGTTACTCACTTCCACCCAGAGGAGGGAAGAAACCAGCTGAATTTACCCGCCTTAGTCAACAACAGAACCAGAAATTCTAAAGTTTATGGGAACTTTTACTGCAAATGATGTCCAACTGTTGACAGCTGCCCCCTGAGGTTTATTTCACTGGGATATTTTCTGACATGTGGCAGCTGCTGTGTTGCATACTCCAAAAAAAAAAAAAACAAAACGGCGAATGAGTTTGGCAGATGCAAATATGAAGGACTTAAGTTGTGCAGGACAGAGGAAGGACAGCGAAGTGGCCCAGACCATCACACTGCCTCCACCGTGTTCAGGGTTTCCTTCAGTGTGTGTTATAAGCCTTTAGACAGGTTAAAAAGGCTCTTTGGTGAAATGGTTTTTAAGCATTATCTTCAAATTTCCTGTAAACTTTCAACATTGTTTAAGATAAAAACATTTCCTGATGTTTGTTGACGTTCTGTTTCTGGAACTCTGTGGGAGTTGAATGTCGGACGTAACGACGTTGTGCACCGAACGAAAAAGGTCCTTGAATTTCAGTTGCATACTGCAGGCATCTGCTTGAATTTCGGATCCATTTTTAAACCAGAATGATTTGTAGATGATGTGGCTTAACAAACACAGACGATCTTAAAAGATTTCAAGACAGTCTGGCACTTTAGAAGTAAACGATAGCAAGTTAAATAGCAAGTTTTCTCAGAAGGATTCATGTGTCGTTCCAATGTAAGGTGGGAGACTCCATACTCAAGATTTACAGCAACATGTGACAGAAACAAAACAAAAAAAGAAAACACAACTTCACATGCTGCGTTTTGAGCTCCTTCTGAGCTATTTTACATAATTATTACCTCCTGTCACAAGTGTCCTCTGAGCCATATTGGACATTTTATTTTACCCAACAAAAACTGAAACAAAGGGTCACTAAACGTCTTCCTTCAATCTGTTTCCAGCTACAAAACCCTCATTAGAGGAACTCGGACAAAACCCTCCCAGCTCTCTGAGACGCCTGTTGTTTCATTCACAAGGATTCAATCAGTTGGATACCTTTGAAAGCTAACCGTGTTAAATTGATGCATTCATCACCGTGAGTATAAATGTAATGTAAGTGAGCTTTCTAAAAACATATAATCAGTTTTTTTGCCATCCAAACACATGACAGAGAATATTCTATTTTTTAACACTAAAATATCAGCTTGCTGAGTTTTAAAAAATATCCAATTACAGATATGTCTCCAAAAATGTTTACAGATGACGAAAACGCAAAAATCAGTGTCACAGAAAATTAGAACACCGTGAAACCGGTAATTATTGGAAACCAAGTGTCACAGTCTAATCAGATAATTAACTCAAAACACCTGCAAATGTTTCCTGAGCCTTTAAACGCTGGATCTGGGTCAGTCGGCTGCACAATCTGCTGAGTGGACAGATGTCAAGAAGACGGACACGGACGTCCTGCAGAAGGAGGGGAAGAGACTGAAGGTCGTTACTAAAGAAGCTGGTTGTTAGGGTGTTCGTATCCAAGCGGTTTAAAGGAGCAGTACTGTGTGTTTTCAGACACATAGAGCCATTTTATTCCACGGTCAAATAACCGTCACCTATAGTTGTTGTAAAAGGTGCTGTAAATATCAAATATGACTCAGAATTATGTTGCCATAGAAATGCTATGTTTCAACACTGACATGACATTATTGATGCAGAAAGTCTCTTTTTGCAGTTTTTCCCTCCCCAAATGTTTTTTTTTTTTTCTTTTTTTTTTAAATGCATGAAAAAAATCTTTGCCGTCCAATGCAAAACATATAAAAAGAAAACAGTGGAAAACATGAACGGTAACATCTGAAGGAATTTAGAAATCTGTAAATGAAAAATAATAAATGTAAATAGCAGCATATTCAGAGAAATGCATTGTGAACAGGAGTTGATGGCAATAGAAACACTTTGTCTCACTTAGCGTTAGCCAGGTGAAAGCTTCCAAGGAGGAAAACCTTATGAACATTTAAAATAAACATTTAAAATGCACAACCTGGTGAAATTTTGTGGAATTTGCATCAACTGAGCCAACGTTTACGTATAAGTAAGTATTATATAAAGCGCAAAAAACTGACCCAGATCTGGTCTGTTGAAACATTAAAGGTAAAAATGTTTCTTCCTCACTTTAGCATCTGTTTCATTTGTGGCTGAAGAAAAAACAGCCAACATGATAAAACACAAAATCATTTAAAGAAAAGGAACAAATAGCTCCTGAATGTTTTTGGCTCTGCTGCAGTTTTTACTGCTTGTGAATCAATTACAGAAATGAAGCAAATAGATGGAGCATGTGGAGCAGCTGCAGTAAATAGATGGACCTTGTGATCTTTTGTGATGTTCCCTGAATTGCAGACATGCTTTGCTTTCTCGTTTATTTCAGACCAAATTATGATGAAAGAACAAGTACTGGTTTAGATTTAATCCATTCAGACCTGGATGAGTCGAGTCGCTCCTGTTCTGAGACTTTCTTCTTACCGCAAAAAAAAAAAAAAAAATCTAATGAACCTGTTTGCCTTGAAAGAGATTCGTAGGATATGCGGGGTTCACTGCCTGCAATGGCTTAAAAAAAAAGAAAAAGAACAAAAAAACATTTCTGTCTTTTAGCTTATGGGCAACATTAACATCTTTTTGTTTAATGGAAGTCAGGAAAACTAAAAGCGTGGAGCTCAGGGCCGAGAACAGAAATGTAAGTACATGACATCTGTGAGATGACGGAGCAATGAAAGCTTTTCGCTTGTGTTTTGGAGTGGCAGGGCTTTTAGCGCAAATGAGTGTGTTCATTTTGTTGTGTGTGTGTGTGTGTGAAGTAGGGAGGGGGGGGTGTATATGAGGACATACTGAGGGCATATACCAGCGTGTGCTAGTTGGTGTGTGTGTGAAGGACAATCACAGCTGTCACTGTGTCCTGGCATCTGCTAAACAGTGGAACAAACAGTGTCAGTACTCCCACACACACACACACACTCTCTCTCTTTCACACACGCAAACACACACGCAGACAGGAGGCCCATTAACTCAGCAGATGTATGGATTCTTGAAGTTTCTCTTTGAAAGCCGGTGTTAAAGTTTTTCCTATAATAATGCCTGACGCTGATGGCGTGACGATTATCTCATGATTTGTCTCTCGGCAGACTGTGCAGTAATTTCGCTGAAACTTAACAAAGGAAAAAGAACAAAATATTGTTTGAAGAGCAGCAGGATGCCTGTTGAAGCTGCTAATCTTTAATCTGCACCGTCATGCCGGAGGTTCGCAGCTCCCTGTGCAATTACGTTCGCATTATTTTTGGAAATTTCCATCAGCTCGGACAATTATGAGTTTTTTTTTTTTTTTTTTTTTGAATGGTAAACTTGTGCCTGAAATGGAAAGTTTCTTTTCTTTCAAATCGCATGCATTTATTTTTCATCTTTTTGCCCCAGAAGCCTGCATTGTTGATGTTTACTATTAACAAGTTACAGTACTTGTTAGTAGTACTATTACTATTATGGCAAATCCAAATTCCTGGTTTTCCCAAATGAGGAATTTGGCAAAACTACTAAAGCTTTAAATAACGCAGTTAAATTTTAATAAAGCAGCTGATCAGTAAGGCTCCAGAATAAGGCTGAAACATATAAGCGTTTCATATCAGTTGATATCGATAATTATCGTTAATATCTGAAACCCTTTTAAACCTGTGATGGAACCTCTCCTGTTTTACCCACAGCTTTCACTCAACGTTGTTTTTATTTTTAACCAGCAACGAAGCAAAACCTGAAACTGCTGCTGCGCGAGTTCCTCCACAGATTGTTGCTAGGTAACCAGAGAGCGAGTGAGTTGATGCCGCCCAGTTAGCTTAGCTGGCGATGAAAGGTTGAGCAGCTGAAGTCTTTCCTCTGCTTACATCTCCCAGAATGCTGTGAGGTTTGGGGTCAGTGAAATCATTGAATATTCCATCAGATGTATTATCTATTGATACTGATTACTTGTCTGATGCAATGTGTATTGTTGCTTCTTAGTAGGGATGCATGATACATCGGCAACAACATTGGTATCGACCACCGGGGCTGATATTTACAACTAATGCTTATTTCCATCTGGTTGCCATGGTTTCAGGATGGTGACATGTTTTTGTTTGTATTTTTTGTTTGGTCATGTGACAGTGATGGAGAGATTTTGGCGTATTTAACTGAAGCAGAGAAGTAATTTCAGCAGTGTCGTTTTTTTTTTTTTTTTTTTTTTTTCCCCCCCCCCTGGATTACAAAAGAGCAGGGAAATATTTATATCAACATCAGATAAATCTATCAGTGCATTCTTACTAAAAACAACGATTTCATTCCTAACGGAAATAAAACAAATCGAATGGCCGATTAGTGGCTTTTCAACGTGGTAGCAAAGAGCACAGCAACTCACACAGAGAACTGAATCTATGTCAGTGACCCCGAGGTCAGCGTCTGTTACGCTGACCCCAACCTCACCAGATGCAGCGGAGCAGGTTTTTTTTTTTGTTTGTTTTGTTTTGTTTTGTTTTTCCCCACAGCGTCCCCAAAAATACTGTTTTCAATAACTGTCCATCCAGAGTTTGGTACTGAATGTTTGAGTCCAGCTAATGACAGATGAAAGGATCAGATCAGTCCTGCAGTGTTTTATGGTTATATGAGGAACAAGCGATGATTGAACTAAACCATAAAAACAGAATGTTTGTCAAACCGACACCAACCTTTAATGTGTCGCTCATTCTGCACGCGTTTATTCTTAGAACAACAACAAAAAACAGAACAGTTGTGGTTAGTTGGATATTTCTTTGTAACAGTACTTCTTGGTAATAAATGTTACTTTTTTAGAAAGTCTGTGTATTTCCTCTCCTTGGATTGTGTTGTAATTGCAACGCTCTGCCCCCCCCTCCAGTCCCCCCCAGCGACACACAGATTGGATTTCAAACCAACTTGACTGAAGCTGGAGGAGTCGGCTAACGATGATCACGGCTCCATTATCCGCAGCGCCATCAAGACAAAACCAAGCAAACTCCCTGGAACTTCAGGAGAGAGCACCGACTCAAAGTAACGCATAAATGCATTCGAGTGCTTTCGCACTTACCAAGCGAGATCAGAGTCACTCTGACCAAACGGATCAGGAATCGTCACAGGGACCCTGGCTCCCGACTGGAACCAGTGGCTCTGCGTGTCGGATCTATTGACTTTAGCCTGGTCCCCACAAGGGGAAATGCTTTTTTGGGTCAGGGGTTAGACTTAGGACTAAGGTGTGAATTGAGTTTTGATTAGGGTAAGATGAGGTTTAAGCTGTAGAAATGAATGGAAGTCAATGGAAAGTCCCCACAAAGATAGCCACACAAACGTGTGTGCATGTGTGTGTGGGTATGCAGAAAAAAAGTATAGAAAATTGCAGTTCCTAGTCATGGGAGTTCTGAATCAAAATGCTCAAAAGTTGATTTTAGTCAGCTTAATTTTTAAACTTTTGGTAGTTTAAGATTCAAAATTTAATCCACAAACTTATTTTTGTTTAAATATAAACTGATGGAAATGTATTTTATTTTCTTTAAAATCCCACAGATTAATTAAAATCTTTTTATCGAGAGAATCCTGGCAGGCAGAGGGTTACAGAACATTCGTGGCAAAAGCAGAAAAAAAGTTAACACTGTCATAAATAAATTCAATTAAAAGATTCCTCTGTTGGAACACTTACAGACAAGATGATCAACATCAACAAGAAAAGCCTTAGAGAAACATTTAGAGAAAACGGCTTGACGCAGAACATTCTGAAAGATGAATAAACTAAATTCTAATGAACGTTTAACACTGGAACTGGAAGGCATTTTAAATATCCAAAATAAATAAATAAAACAACATAAACAACAAATAAAATTAATCATAAAGTCTCTGTAAACAAAATTGTCCTTAAAATAAGGGCCTATTTGAGACCAAAACACCAGACTGAAGACTTTTATCATCCAGTTTTTGGTAGAAAGAGAGAGAGGAAAGAGGAAAATGATAAATCATGCAAATGGAAATGATTGAGCTCGTTTTAATCCACCGTGCGATTAATCGATGTATTGCTTATTGCGACATGCCCACGTTTGAAAAGAAAGAAAAACTGAAAAAAATCGGAATCTACTCGCTAGACGCTGAAAGATTCACATCTCTAATCATTCCGTCTGAAAATCATTAAATAAACAACTTAGTGGTTTCAAATATGAAAAGGTCTGATCTTTACTCAACTCTGACTGGGGCAAAGATTAGGGTTAGGCTTGTAATCGTTGCAGTTAAGCCTCGGGGAACTTGATGCGTATCTCAAATACGTCCTCTGGGATTTCTGTTGTGTTAAGAAAAAATGTGTAGAAGCGGGAGTGTGAAGGTTGGGGGCATCACTCAGAGACATGTGGGGGGGCCAGGGTGGAGAGGTAAGGAGGGCAGGAAATCGAGTGTGTGCATCGGGGCAGGGTGGGCGTTCGATGGGGGTCACGGCCACCAACTGACCTGCTCGGAGAGCTGCTTGCCTCTGAGGAAGAAGCCCAGCAGGCAGCCGATGACCACGGCCAGAACGGACAGGATGAGCAGGCCGTTCTGCTTGCAGACGTTCTTCACTCGGCCCCACACTTCGTCCAGAGCCAGCGCCATCCTCCTCCTCTTCCTCCGCCGCCACCGACGGTCTCGACCGCAACTTAGCAACTCCCCTCAGAGAAAACCACCGAAGCAAGCCCCCGTCTTTAATCTGTTATTCAGCCATGGAGATCCGGTCGGGTCAACCACCGCAGCAAACCGGGGAAGGAGGGACGCAACGGAGGCTGTGTGCAGCGGGTGGGGGCGACTAGAGGGAGGCAGACTGATTGAGGAGAAAGTGGGCTTTAAAAAGCACACACACACACACACAAAAAAATGAAATTAGGAAAAAACAAAACAAAAAGGGATTTTAGTAATTAAAAAAATGTGAACGAATTAAATAGAGATCCCAAAACATGAAAGGTTCAGGAGGTTTTTGAGCGTCTCCCCCTTCGTCCGGCAGTTCTTTACATCAAACCCACAGCATCCCACAGACACACTGAATCCAACCTCTCCCTCTCTCATCCCTCGTGCCCCGCAGGCCACATTTCTGCCGGCGGCCAGCAGGGGGCCCCGCGACAGCTGGTGGTATTGTCATCAGGGTTAATACTACGATCCTATTAGGCATGGTGCAGTACGACTCAGATCTAAGGCTGGATTAGAGAGCTCTCTGAACAATTGGACAGCAGATTGGTCAAGGCCACCAAGCATGACGAGGACGGGAGGAGGGGAGGGGACCATTTGCGGCGTGCGCATGCTAATGACATCTGAATCTACAGGAAAGAAGAAAGAAGTGAATTCAATTTTATGGATTTCTTTCAGAAGTGTGTAGGTAGCGAGCCATTAAGTCCTCAGCTTCACAGCTTGTTCTGTGCGAGTACAATGTCAGCTGGAACGCTGTAGAGCTATAATCACAGTGCTTCAGCCCTTTAGAATACTGATTTAGAGCCATACATGGAAAAACAACACAGGTAGTTTACTTCATACTTTTTTCTTGTAGTTTCTTATAAGTGTGAGAGAATTAGGTGGGTTGAAATGGTTTAGCAACAGCAATAACACCAAAACAAGAAGCAACATTTTGTGACGCATCACAGCCTAAAAACTGAGTGTAGTATCGGGGTGTTTTATGTTCTTCCTACGGTTCTGGTCACACACATTTCATTCAGCTGAAGTTCTTTAACCCCTCCAGCGTTTCCTCAGGTGTCCCCCAGGGTTATGTCCTCGGGGCCCCTACTATTCATCATCAATATCATAATCCCTTTGCAACATTTTTCACAAATTTGGAGTTAATTTCCACTGCGAGGCTGATGACACCCAGCTCTACCTCAACACAAAACCCTCCGTCACGCTTTTGCCCACCTTCCTCAGTGATTTCCATCCCTGAAACAAAAACGTTTGCGCATTAAACTAAAAGTTCGAGTCATATTTCAAAAAGAATATTTATTACTGAAGGTAACATAGTTACTTTATTACGCATAAAATGGCACTATGTACATGGAAAACACATAATATTCACCCTTTAAATGGATTCAAATGATTAACACCAACCAGGAGTGTGTGTGAACTCGCCTCTCGGCTTGGCCTGTTGGAGGACAGAGTTACGTTAAGAGCCGAAAACGAACGCAGTGCGGCTCAATGTAGGGCTTGTTCAGTGAGGCTGGAGGGAGTCCAAGGGAGAGTAATCAGCAGAGAACAGTCAGGCTGGTAATTAATCATGAGCCTGTGTGTTTGATAATAGTAAGTAATAGTAAAATTGAACCACTGCCTGCACCTTCAGAGAATAAGTAACTTGTGATAGAATAATGAAGATTTATCTCTCTGGAGTAAATCCATAACATCCCAGAATGATTTCTGTCTGAGCAAAGTCTGCTTCATGAAATATGACTCGATTATTGGCAACAGGTACGTTGACTTGGGTAGCAAGATTGATTTCAGAGTGCTGTGCAGGGAAAAACAAACTAAGGTAAAGATTAATCGATTAAAGTAGGAACTACATCAAAACAGTAATAATACAATTCAACAGAGAGCATTCAAACCCACAGCTAGTGCATTAAGACTGCTTCCATTTGATCTATTTTTGAGGTTTTCATGTTCTTGCCACGTAGGCACCATTATATTAATTTAATACGATATAGATAAAAATGTACAAGTACCCATGTGTCCTGTGTTGACAGTAAACTGTAAAAGACATTATGAGGCGGTCAAAAATGAGGCCAAAGTGGTTGATGACAACATATTGTCTTTGTTCGTTCTGCATACTGTTTTTGTTTTTGTTTGTTGTTTTTTTTTAGCATCAGTAAATCTAGTTGAGTCATAAAAATGTACTTTTTTTTGTTGTAAATTGACATTAAAATACCAATATACTGCCTGGGTTATTCTACATCGCTAACAAGACTCTTTAAAATACTATTTCTGTTTCTTTTTTTAAAAAAATGTATTTATTAATGTTTTGTTCTTTTATTTTACAGTGTAAACTTTATTTAAACAGCACCTTCTACACATATAATTCCAAAGTGCTTTACAGAGCTCAGGAAAACTGCTTTACAAAATCAACAAGTGGCACTTAACTAAAAGTTTGTCCAGAAGAGTGACGTGGAGAGACAGAGGGTGTGGATAGAAGGATAAGGAATTTAAGTCTCTGCTATTAAGTTTGTTTCCATTTCCAAACCATCGGACATCCAGGCAGTGTTTGTTTCCCGTAGAGGGATTAGGTCTAATGCTGCTCAATAAACCTTTGTCATTCTGCATCAGTCCAAAGGAAAATCATAGACCTAAAGAGAATAGAGAATAAAATATGGCCATGAATACAAGAAAGTTTGACTGGTTCAGAAACTGTAGAGAAAAATACTTAAATAACATTTAGAGGCATTTTCATGAGCTTCTTTGTCATTAAAACATGGCCAAAGTTCATTGCTGTGAACAAATGCAATTTATCTCACTCCTCGCTGAAGTGAAATAAATTAAAGAAAAAAGCCCTCCAGGACACCCGTGGTTGTTTACCACACTTTCCATCTCCTACTATACTGTTTATGCACAGCTAATGAGCTGTTGTTGCTGTGCCGAATCATGACGGTTCTGCACGGCCGCTCCTGTACGGTCCGGGTTCTGTCTGACAGCGTCCGTCTGGCGTTTCACTCGTTAAATTCAACAACAACCTGCCAGGTGAAAAAATAAAACTAAAAAATATCACATATCAACTCATCTCCAAGCAAGGCAGCGAGCAAATCAGACATGCCAAAGTTCTGTAGGGGAGCCGCCTCGTGCTGAATATGTTCCCAGCCGCAGTTACTTAGCAGCTCATTAGTTCTAAAATTCAAAATTGCAACGTTGATGAAGGTTTTAATAAGACGATTTAGGCACGACTATAGGCAAAAAGTCAATGAAGTACTGGCAACAGACAAAGCCGCACAAAAGTAATTTTGTTCTCAAAAGAAGGCCACAGCAGTCCGTTTATCAATAATTCAGATCCATTTGTCAGTCAAGTCAGGATTTGACTGGTCCAGGTAAACAAGCGATGCTCCGGCGACACAACAGAAGCTGCGTTTCCATTAGAGATCCTTTGTCTAAATCCTGCTGATGTTCAAAACAACACAATTTTGCGAGTGCGACGTTTCAATTAAATAAGACATGAAATAAAAATCACACTTTAATAGTCTTGTTCCCGTGGTAAGTCATTAAAAATCAACGACGGATGTAAACACACGCATGAGATGTATTCATAATTTGGCTGTGGCGCTTGAGCTCATCATCTATCAGCCGTCAGAGGAGACGTCGGCATTTTATTCATGCGTGAGAAGCCCCTTATAATTGGAAGCAGCTATGTATGCGACATTTTGGGGAAATAAGTCAACTATTTTATAGAGGAGTTATGAATTGAAAACGTTTGAACCTGTGCAGTGGCCTCAGAGCTCTGGTGGAGCCGTTTATCTGAAAAAAACAAAACAAAAACAAACCATCGTCCTAACACTTCCTGTCGGCTTCTTCGTCGTTTCTGCCAGTAGTAACATTCGACTGTTGATCATGTGACTCGTGTGATGCGAACAAAGTGTTTCCCCTTCAGTTTTGTGAAATGCATCTATCTCAATACAGCCAAAAAAAAAAAAAAACTCACCTAATCCTAAAACGTTCTAATGTGTTTTTAATTTTTTTTTCAAAGTTGGAATGTTTCCATTAAGCAAATTTATTTTTGTGTTTTCTGTTTTCCTAAGTCTATGGTTAATGGAAACACAGCTAATGTAGTGTTTATGTAGGAACTTCCTCCAACCTTATTTATCTTATTCACTTTAGGCTTAATCGTGTCCCTTTTTGGTTCATATTATTAGAGGCGAATGCAAGAATTGCTGTTCATGATTTATTTTCATAATGCTATCCATATCATCTATATTTCAATCTTCCAGCCAGGATAAAAACATAACTCAGACTTGAAGATTACTGCTGAACTTTCTTTCTGAAGTCATCCTTCAAAGGGCAACTTGAAAGGTTAAATTTAATAACAAAGAAAAATGTTGACAATAATAACAATAAAAAAGGCTTCCGTCTCTGGAGGAACGGTTTATACAGTAAAGACTAAAAGTGAGGAAAAGATATGAGGGCTTTAAGCTGCAGGTCTGATGCACCTCTCCTCTGCAAACAGAAACGGTTCAATGAAACCACAGAGAATCCATTCTGTCATCAGTTTCTGTCTGCATGTCGAAGGAAAGCAGCAGCTTATTCTTACTGATAAAATCAACTCTAACCACTGATAATCGGCGAGTGTGAATATGTCTGTAAGAGCAAGAGCTTCAGCGGTTTTCTGGTCAGAGCCATAATGAAACCAGAGCAATTCTTCTGCTTAAAGTAGGACATGAATGCTTGTCAAAACACGGCTTGTCGTCATTGGAGACGATCTCGGTGAGGGGAGATATCAAGATCAATTTCTGTAACTCCGTATCTCCTCTTTTAGAGTCTAGACTGTGTCAACTCAGGCTGAGGCTTATCTGAGACTGCCTAGAGAATTGTGGGGAGTGAAGAGGGTGGAGCCGTCTGCCAGCAGAAATAACCTCAATGCATTTGAACATTTGTTGGATCAGTTTGGTTGTGCGGTTTGTGAGTTGTAAACGTAACGCGCTGAATCTTAAATGTCCGCGTGATATATAAATAAAAGAAAAAGGGACACAGTTAATTGTCAACACTACAACTACAATAACAAGGTCAGAAAAAAAGCTTTAATAAAAAAAAGTAGCGAGGGAGAGAGAGGTAAGTCAGTTATGCTAGCTTGACTTTGACAACCTTGACATGTAGAGGTGCTGCAGCATTCGGCGCGTAGCGGTTCAGTGAAGGATAAAAAGGCGACCCACAAACTCACTGTCTGACAAGTCATTAGTAGAGAAGGTGTTTAAATTAGCTAAGATCTTCCCCCGCGGTGTTCAGACGATCACATTAATAATCGCAAAATAAACATCAAGCCTGGAAACTTAAAGCCGCAACGGACTGAATGTTTGTTTTGTCTGTGTGGGAAATGTTTTGGTATTTTTTTGATGTTAAATCCTGATACACTAACGGAGTTGTTGTCAGTCGGTTGCTATGGCATTGGGTCTTAATAGTAGTGTAGCCGGCACAGAGACCGAGAAAAAATATGAATATGAAGCAGTTTTGAGTTATTCCTTAATGTTTTTTTTTCTGAGTTATTTCCCCCTTTGCTGTGGGGAACGGCACTAATTTAATAAAACTTCTCCAGGCTGCATTTTGCTAGCAGAATTGTTGCACTGCTGCAGTGCGGCAATGGATGGTGAGTAAAAGAATCGTCTTTTTTCCCTCTGGCAGAAAGACGGAGGGCAGACACTACGTCTGTAACAGGGAACCAGACGTAGGGTTGCCAGATTGGGCGGCTTTCTGCCCAAGCACACTTCTCCTGAACATGTTGGTGTGGGAGAAACTGCTTTGTTGTTAAAATATGGTCTCTCATTTTACTATTTATTTCGTTTTGAAATGTCTAGAATCTGTCAAACGGGACATCAACAGTAATTAATAGTCATTGATTACCATGTAGTAAAACAGAAATTCCAATGCAACTTCATGATTCAAACAAACCAGAAAAGTAAAACGAGTCTCGGTGTGTTCCAAGAGTCAAATCCTTTTTAGTCCCAATGGAATCCGGTTCTGGTCAGAATGGAATAAATGATAAATGGGTAACTTGGAGTTAGGCAGGTTTTACGTCGTGTTTGGAAAAGAGTAGGACAAGTGTCTGTTTTTTCTTTTTCTGTTCGTTTTCAACCAGTCTACTCTAATTATTGCAACTTACACACATATTAAACATTGTATTTTCAAGC